ACACACACACACAGAGAGAGAGAGAGAGAGAGAGAGAGAGAGAGAAGGAGAAGAACACCGCAGAGAGACACTCGTTGTTGATTATTACAAGTAATAAATAAAGTAATAGGAAAAAAAAGAAGAAGAAGAAAAAGAAGTTTATAGGAAAGTTTAACTAGAAGTACGAGTTATAATGGGTTTAAAGAAGACGGAGGGAGGCGAGGCTTCTTTTTATCAAAGGCTGTCTAATTCTTATCTTATTCTTACCTGTGTAAAGTTAATAACGTGTTTATAGGATACAAAAGGGGAGACTGCGCGCGACCATTGAGGGAACCACTATAATAGGCGCTACTACTTGTACGATTACTACGTTAATTAATTATTATCCTTACGTTATTATCGTCGATACTTGTAATATGTTCGATTTAACCTCCCCCGTATAAATTGCGTACTCTGCGCCTCAAACGCACTCTCGTCGCGTTTCCGTCGCTGGAAACAGGTGTGGATGCACCCTGAGGAATTTGGCTCTTTCGCGCTTACTTGAGGATCGTTCCAGGATCTTTTGACCGATCGGTTTGGATGCGAAATTTCTTGACACCCGGTAGCCAAGAGGCACATAGGCGTAAACACCCACATTTTACACGACACAGATTTACAGGGAAAATCGGACACATTGACTGACGCATCGTGAACTCGTTGTACATAGAAAATTTGTCCCGTCTAATATTATTACCTTTACTGCGTTTATTAAATAAATATTGTAGAAACAAAAGGAGGCGGGATGTGCCGGAGGGGCCAAACGGCTATAAAATCAGGGAATTAATAGGATTTAGGTCGAAAGGAAAGAGAAACACAGTCCGAAGGAGGAAACGGGTTTTTTTTGTTTTTTTTTTGGGGGGGGGGGGAACGGAGAAGCGATGAAAAGTGCCAGTGGAAACGAGGAGAATGAAAAATATGTACTATTTAGAGATCGCGTAATTAATTAACGATTATTGACTCGGTATATAAATAATATATTTATATTTAATGCAATATTATTAGTATGGTTAAACAGAGAGACAAAACGACTTATTAAAAATAAAAATAGGATAGCTCATTATTATTAAGGGAGAGAGGGCCTGTGGAGAGACATCTTCCTAGAATTAGAGGTTAACTTGTTTCCATCGTCACTTTTCTTCGGCTTCTTCTTCCTCTTCTCTTTCTCCATCTTCGTCTTCATTTTTCGTTTCCCCTTCTCTTACTTGCCGTCGCTTCTTCCCGTGGCCTCTGTTCTTTTTCCCCTCTTCCCCCCTTCCCCTCTTCCCCTTTTTACCCGTGCATTTCAAACCCGGGGAATTCGCGCGACGTTTTCTCTCGTTCGTTCCCACGTTGTTCTTTCTTCGTTGACTAATCGTTAAATAGTAAATCAAGAGAGGGAGACTCAAAGGAGTCTATCGAATTGCGAATTAATAGGGATTTAAGCTCTAAGGCTAAGCTAAAGAGGGTAAAACGCGCGCGTGATATTGAGGCTCTATAAAAGTTAATAAAAAGAATCAATGATAATTGCCGATAATTAAATAGACAATGTTTAAAGGAAAATAAAAGAGAGAGAGAGAGAGAGAGAGAGAGAGAAAAGAAACCTACTAAAATGCCAGCTAGATTGTTCGTCGTGATTTTTTTAAACTTAATTAGTT